TTTATTATCATTATACCTTGCATTCTACAGTAGTTGTCAATTGTACTTTATTATCATTATACCTTGCATTCTACAGTAGTTGTCAATTGTACTTTATTATCATTATACCTTGCATTCTACAGTAGTTGTCCCTGATTTTAGCATTCTTTCTAATCTTGGTATCAACAGCTTTAACAGCTCTTGCTCGCTTGATGCTCTTAATGATTAGATTAGTAACATCCTAAATACTACTGCAGTAAGCAGTTTTTAGTGCTAACCTAAAATTCTATATTTAGAGCTGCTTATAGATATCCTGAAATCCTAGATAGTGAGCAGTTTAGAGATATCCTGAAATCCTAGATAGTAAGCAGTTTAGAGATATCCTCAAATCCAACATTTAGAGCAGTTTAAATATATCCTAAAATCCTATAAACTAAGCTGTTTAGATATCCTGAAATCCTAGATAGTAAGCAATTTAAAGATATCTTGAAATCCTATAATTAGAGTAGTTTAGAGATATCCTGAAATCATATATTCAGAGCATTTAGAATATATTAGAGATTTCCTGAAATCCTATATTCAGAGCATATAGAATAGATTAGAGATTTCCTGAAATCCTATATTCAGAGCATATAGAATAGATTAGAGATTTCCTGAAATCCTAGATAGTAAACAGTTTCGAGATATTCTAAAATCATATATTTAGAGCAGTTTATAGATATTCTAAAATCATTTATTTAGAGCAGTGTATAGATATTCTAAAATCATTTATTTAGAGCAGTTTAGAGATATTCTAAAATCATATATTTAGAGCAGTTTAGAGATCTTCTAAAATCATATATTTAGAGCAGTTTAGAGATATTCTACAATCATATATTTAGAGCAGTTTAGAGATATTCTATAATCATATATTGAGAGCAGTTTAGAGATATCCTAAAATCATATATTTAGAGCAGTTTAGAGATATTCTACAATCATATATTTAGAGCAGTTTAGAGATATTCTACAATCATATATTGAGAGCAGTTTAGAGATACCCTAAAATCATATATTCAGAGCAGTTTAGAAATATTCTAAAATCATTTATTTAGAGCAGTTTAGAGATATCCTAAAATCATATATTGAGAGCAGCTGAGAGATATCCTAAAATCATATATTTAGAGCAGTTTAGAGATATTCTAAAATCATTTATTTAGAGCAGTTTAGAGATATTTAAAAATCATATATTTAGAGCAGTTTAGAGATATTCTAAAATCATATATTGAGAGCAGTTTAGAGATATTCTAAAATCATATATTTAGAGCAGTTTAGAGATATTCTAAAATCATATATTTAGAGCAGTTTAGAGATATTCTAAAATCATATATTGAGAGCAGTTTAGAGATATTCTAAAATCGTATATTTAGAGCAGTTTAGAGATATTCTAAAATCATATATTGAGAGCAGTTTAGAGATATTCTAAAATCATATATTTAGAACAGTTTAGAGATATTCTAAAATCATTTATTTAGAGCAGTTTAGAGATATTCTAAAATAGTAGATAGTAAGCAGTTTAGAGATATTCTAAAATCATATATTTAGAGCAGTTTAGAGATATTAAGCAGTTTTCCGAGATATTAACCGGAAATACAATGACGAGATGTAAAATAAGATTTATCCAGATTCCAAGTTTTTCAAACAAAATGAAAATGACTAAATATCTCGTATCTCGGTCAATTTTGAATATCATATTAAATCAGTTCAAAGACGTCAAGCTCATCGGAAATCAAAGTATTGGTTTAATTCACATGTTTTTTGGGACGCTTTATTTATCAAGATTACCTTGTTTTCTCTACAGTAAAGTTTATTCCTCCGCCTGCCTGATGCACCTGGATAAAAACAAGTTTAATGAGATCTTTTAAATCGATTCAAAACCTTTTATCTTTCCATAAATTCTTCAAAATTTTCTTTTTGCAAAGTACTTGAGTCTTTGCCAAAAAAAAATAAAATGTTTTAATTCCTATATTTTTGCAGTGTAATACATTTTACATTAACATACAACTTATCTAATTTTCAGAGGTCGGATTTAATTGAAAAGGGAAAGTAAATGAATGTATAAAATTTATACCTCCATATATGAGGCCCCGGAAAGTTTAAGTGCAAACTCATGAACTCTATCTCCCGCCCACACTGGGTGGGTGTGTCCATCTACCAACCCAGGCAGGACAGATCCACCTTTAACATTTATTCAGAGTACATAAAGAAAAGGTGAAAAAGGACATCAGTCAGTAAGAACAATCTGTTTTTACAAAAGATTCTTTAAATGCAGAATAAGGTTGTACTTTTACAAACTTTCTGTTCAATGAACTCTATAAACTCATAAATGCAGAAAATGCAGAAAATCACAAAATCAAAAAAAAATATTGTTTCCCCACCTTGAGCATCTATAACACTGGTAAAACAGGTTTCAGGATATGCTGCTAGAACCTGAATAAAGAAAATACTAAAATTAGAAAAAAATATTATTTTTAGAACATGGTATCAACTATTTAAGTTTTATAAACCATTAAAACAATAAACTAATTAGTGGTCTATGAACAGGTTGGAAAAAATAGGAACAACACTTTTCGATTAAACCTCATTTCTTAAAAGTTTGTTTTATGTGAATCCTCAATTGAAAATCTACATGTATGAAGACGACAATTTTCTCCGCTCAATCCAAATTAGTTTCTGTTGTGACTTGCGCGTACTTGAAAATAATGCCGTACAACATTCAACTTTTTCAAAAACCCGCCAAAAATATACGGTTCTAAATAATTGTTAAACTTTTTATGACCAAAATAAATTTAAAATGAATATATTATAAAAGCTTTTAATCACCAAAATAAATTTAAAATAAATATATTATATTTATTTTGATGCTAAGAGTTAATTTGTATTTTCTAAACCTGTTCCTAAACAACTAAATATATTTTACTGTAGAATTTTTTGTTATTTTTGTCGTCGTTATGTAAAAATTAAAAAACGATTCTCAAAACGTATCCACACAATAAGATGATTTTTAAAGTCGACTTTGCGATCAAACTCAGTAAATATACGTCGCAGAATAGTTTTATATGTCTCAAATTAATCCTGAAATATTTTCCACAATATTACATATTTATTTCAACCACCAGATCCCTTAAAAACTGTAAAATCAAGTTTTCGAACAAAACTGTAAAATAACCAATAAGAGAGATAAATAGATCGATTTTTACCAGCATTACCTTTTCCTGTTTCCCACATTCAGCAATCATACCATCATCATCTACAGCTACAGACAGTACACCCGTCTCTTTCTAGGTAATCAATAATTATTTCATGGATTGTAAATTCAAAGAATAATACGCAATTATTGTTTTCGCTTTTAACCCTGCATTGTGCTTATTTTTATATTTATAGAATAAAATGTTCTTCAAAACAAGTGAAACAATCATGTTGTTATAACGCCTGCGTATTGCAAGCACACCGACAGCTAAATCTTCTTTTCATCTCCAATAATTGTATTTGTATCTGGTATCAACTCTGTGACACAATGGGCTGGTTCATGAGTAAAGAGCTTTCTACTTTCATGTGACGCTTAGATACCTGTGTACTGCATGTAGTGCGTGTCCATCTGATGACCGGGCATGTAGTGTTGACCCTCACATATTTCTACCTGTATATTGTTCATCTGATTACCGGGAGTGTAGTGTTGACCCAGACATATTTATACCTGGATAGTGTTCATCTGATGACCTGGCAAATGTTGACCCTCACATGTTTCTACCTGTATATTGTTCATCTGATGACCGGAAAGATAGTGTTGACCTTGACATGTTTCTACCTGTATATTGTTTATCTGATGACCGGGCATGTAGTGTTGACCCAGACATATTTCCACCCGGATAGTGTTCATCTGATGACCGGGCAAGCGTTGACCCTCACATGTTTCTACCGGTGTATTGTTAATCTGATGACCGGACAGATAGTGTTGGCCCAGACATATTTCTACCTATATATTGTTCATCTGATGACCGGGCAGGCAGTGTTGACCCAGACATATTTCTACCTTTATATTTGTCATCTGATGACCGGGCAGATAGTGTTGACCCTCACATGTTTCTACCTGTATATTGGTCATCTGATGACCAGGCAGATAGTGTTGACCCTCACATATTTCTACCTGTATATTGTTCATCTGATGACCGGGCAGGTAGTGTTGACTCTGACTTACTACTACCAGTTCACCTAATAACAGCTCTGGTAGAGTCAAAGATTGGCCAAGGACAATCTTAGGTTTTGTATTTCTTTTTTGGGCCTCATTAAACACAACAAAATTACAAAACAAGTCTGTTGGAAAATACATTTTTCCGGTCATGTACTGAGAAAATTTCGAATTGTCACTTATGAGTTAGGATATTGAGTATATTGAAAATAAAAGTAAAATCTTAATCTCGAAGTTGCATATTATACAAGATGGTAGTTATTTTTAGAATAGCTTTATTATTTAAAACCTTCTAACAAAGATATTTCGAATAATGATTTACCAATATTTTTCACAAGAAGCCGCATATTTTTCTAATAACTTTAACTGGTGAAATGAAGAGATAAACTGGAATGTTTGTTGACTGCTGTCTCCTATAGTGGAGATAGAATCAGATATAAAACTAGTTATACAGCTATTCCAGTAATCGAAAAACAGGAAAATTGAGGGCCCGACCCTAAAATCAGTATTTGTATTGTGTAATATGTTGAATTTGAAATGAATTTCTTTCTTCTTATTTAAATATAATCAAATATACAAAGAGATTAGAATATATATTAGAGTGGAATTTAGGCAATCCCTCGGTATGAATTTTGTCAGTCCCTTTCAGCCTGAAAGTGAGGCAAAGTGTACAAATCATGCAAATGTTCACAAATTATATGTAGTAGAGTACATTAATACAGTATGTTCCCTAGAATATCCATTTCAATTTCGAATTTTTTAAAGCTGTTAAATAAACTTTATAAAATGAATTAGGTGAATAAAAACATCATTTGATTTATTGTTATAACGGAAAATCATCGTTTGTAAAGTGAAAGACATAGAGTCTATATGAAATGATCATTGGTCAATTATGAAACCAGCCTATTTCATAATTTTGTTTTCTTTTAATTTTAATTTTAGATTTTCTATAAAATAATGTTCCAGGGCCCAAAAGGTTATATAGCACAAATATGTAAAGTACACATGTAGTATGGAAACAGTACAGCAAAATGATTGTTTTACACTTTTTTCTAGTAAATTCCACTCTAATATATATTCTATTCTCTTTGCAAATATATCATTGAACCGTGCATCAAAATTCAACAATTTTAAAATAAACTATAGATTTTTTTTATTACTGGCACTCGTGCTACTATCTTTTTTATCAGATGTTTATTGGCGTGAACTGGTCTATATTTAAATATATAAAAAGTGGACTTTTTAATTTAACTTTTAAAAAAATTGGGGTGTCATCTATCAAAAATTGCTATAGAACCTTAATCAAGACGTTTTTGAACAGAAGATTGCTAAAGCGGGACAACAATGTTAATTTAAAGAAATTTTCCCATGGAATATTTACGGAAATATTTTCCCATGGAATACTACTATCAATGTCAATCCAGAAACGATCTATCTCTTTACTATCAATGTCAATTTTGACACGATCTATCTCTTTACTATCCATGCCAATACGGACAAAATATATCTCTTTACTATCAATGCTAATCCGGAAAAAATCTATCTGTACCAATTTCCAATCTAGTTCTATATTTCAAGCGAGTGATTCAGGACGCAATTCTCAATCGCTAACCCAGAAGAATTACTCTCTCACTGTTATCGAAGCAGTGTCTATTCCAACTAAATGTATTTTTGATTCTATGTTAAAAGTTAAAGTTAATTACAAATTTTCGTTTTCATACACAACGTAAATAAACTAATCATGTTACGTAGTTATTTAGTTCAGGTTTATAGATATAGTGTTACACGTTATTCATTACAGTAGTTTATAAGACTAGCCTTAGAGGGCGCTTCGCGCCCATCTTCTAAATTAATTGTGAACATGTTCTCTTTGTGTACATCGTAAAACAAAACAAAAATAATTCGCGGATTTTCGCAACAAATTTCGTGGATTTTCAAAATTTTCAAAAATTTAATGAAGTTCGAATTTTGATGGAGATAAATATTTGAAATTTTGAAATTGCTAAATCCCTTATTTCTATTTCTAATTAGTTGTCTGGATCCTGATCCCTTTAGTTGTAGAAAATATCTAGAAACTGTCTTATTGTCTAATTCAACCATGGCACCAGGGTGTCCCAATAGAAATGGAATTTAATAGAAGACATTTTAATTGTCTTAGGATTTAGTTTTATGTAACTGATCTATGTGATCGTTCCCTTCCCGGCGTTGCCCGTTGAAATATTTTTTTAATTAAAAATTTTGAAAAAAATTCGATTTTTACCTAAGACACCCCCGCGGCTACCCATGAGTGTCCACAAAAAATGTTAGCCCATTCGCTCCAGCCGTTTGGCTGGTCAGAGGGAATATATATATAAGAATGTCTTCTTTTATTATATATATAGTCATAGAATTTAACAATTACCAATTGCAAACTATAATTTGGTTGTTTTTCTTAACAGTTTCAGACATTTATATAATTTATAACATATTACAAATATCAAACTGTGATTTGGTTGTTCCCTTGACAGTTTCAGACATATATATATAATGTATAACGTATTACAAAAAACAAACTTTATTTGGTTGTTCCCTTAACAGTTTCAGACATATATATAATTTATAACATATTACAAATATCAAACTGTAATTTGGTTGTTCCCTTAACAGTTTCAGACATTTACATAATTTATAACATATTACAAATATCAAACTGTAATTTGGTTGTTCCCTTAACAGTTTTAGACATATATATAATTTATAACAATTACAAATATCAAACTGTACTTTGGTTGTTCCCTTAACAGTTTCAGACATATATGTAATGTATAACGTATTACAAATAACAAACTATAATTTGGTTGTTCCTTTGACGGTTTAAAAAATATATAATTTAAAACAATTTCAAATTGAAAACTCTGATTTGTCTGTTCCCTTAACAGTTTAAGACATATATTTATAACTAGCTGAAGGGCCCAGCGTAACCGTGAAAAAAAAATGTTGAGGAAAAAAATGCTTGAAATTTTTTTAGCCTATAACACCCCTCCCGGCCACCCATGAGTCTCCACAAAAAATTTCAGCCCAATTGGTCTAGCCGTTTGGCCGGCTACAGGCAACATATATATACGAATGTCTTGTTTTATTATATAGATTTATAACATTTACAAATGATAAAATATTTAGTTATATTTCTTGATTAAAAGAAAAAACAATTACGATCATTATTATATGTAGTTTTCTTGTTATTACTGTCTTGTATTGTATTTAGATACTTTTGATTAAAATTTAAAAGGAAATAAGTTTTTGCTACAAACTCTAATCTTTTAATCCCTTTATCTTTGCAACCCTATGTCGTAGACATTTAATATTTAAAACTATGAGTTATGTTATATGAAAAAGTCTAAGGGTAAATTATAAAAGGTTTAAACCATCAAGTTGCAAAGATACAGGGATTAGAAAATTTGAGTTTGTAGCCAAAACTCAGTTTCTTTGTTAAATGAAACTGTGACACAATTCCTGATATCTCAATATCTTTTAGCAATATATTTCAATACAATACAATTAAATGAACCTTAATACGTACATAATTATTGATAAATCTTTAAATCAGATTCTATAAATTAGTATGTAAACAATGTTTAATCTAAGCACCAAAGGTTTAATGTCCACCAAGGACACAGCAAATTAAATGAACCTTAATACGTACATAATTATTGATAAATCTTTAAATCAGATTCTATAAATTAGTATGAAAACAATGTTTAATCTAAGCACCAAACGTTTAATGTCCACCAAGGACACAGCAAATTGTTCAGATTCTATAAATTAGTATGTAAACAAGGTTTAATCTAAGCACCAAACGTTTAATGTCCACCAAGGACACAGCAAATTGTTCAGATTCTATAAATTAGTATGTAAACAAGGTTTAATCTAAGCACCAAAGGTTTAATGTCCACCAAGGACACAGCAAATTGTTCAGATTCTATAAAGTAGTATGTAAACAATGTTTAATCTAAGCACCAAACGTTTAATGTCCACCAAGGACACAGCAAATTATTCAGATTCCGCTAAATTATCATAAACTAAAATAAAATAAGAAGTCAGAGAAAATTTACAAATTAAAATTATCTAATTATACATATTTTTTAAGATGACAGATCCAAAGTATTTAAAATCTTATTATGGTTTTTACAACTCTGCCATTAAGTTTGAATATTAAAAAGCGGAACCAAGGTTGTATGATAAGGTTGGTTACTCTCGATGCGCTCCAACATTTAGAAAATGTCGCCTGCTAAGATAGATAGATAAAAACATCATAAGACGTCATTAATTATAGAGACGAGAGCGTCTATATTAGGAGATGAAATTTTCCATACAATAGAGCCTTCGACAGCAAAACTGACCAGCATTTAGTTTTAAAAGAATCTTATTTTAAAAATTAATTGAAAAATATTGGAGACTCAATATTTTTCAATTATTGCATATTTCTTACTCTGATTTTTGTTTTATAAGACGGTTGAGTTGGTCCGGGGTTGGCTGGTATACTGAAATTATATCTTTTAATGAACTACCAGACTAGGGTTGGGCGTTTTTCTACTTTTTTTAATCGTTTGTTTTGTTCATTCCCATCTAATAACGATTGTTCCCCAGGAACGACCCGCAGCCCTATGACAGACTTTAATTTAAATTTAATTTACTAATTTTAAAAAACTAAATTCAAGCGTTAAAATCTTTAAAAATTGTGGAAAAATACGCGAAAATTTAACGAAATATCGCAAATACCAATTGTAACCATTCAATTTATGACTAACCACGATGGAAAATGAGAACAATCAGACAATATCTATTTGTATACCTACTAGTTGGGGCAGGAAATAATAAATTTCGGTCAGGATTTTTATTTTTCGAGACTTTTTAACCCTATCCCCGCTGGGGTACTTGAAAACCAGGATACGCTGGGGGGGGACTGCCAATATTATATCATCATAATAAATACTACAACAAACTTTAATACAATCAGAGCTGATAACTTTTGAATGGTGGATATCGGGATTAATGCTTAATCCACTCTTTTTTTTAATCTCCAGATTAAATATTGCTTGTTCTTCTCTTGTAATTAATCTCCAGATTAATTAACCGATCGGGATTAAGGATATCCCATTCTAAAGTTTTCAGCTCGGGATTAAGGATATCACATTCTAAAGTGTTTAGCTCTGGTTCTATAGATACTAAATATAAATACAGTAATGTTATTTTTCAAAGATTAATGGTTCCATTAAAAGAGTGAATCGTTTGTAGTTATCTTGTAAGATCCTCCTGTGCCTAAAAAGGCAGATTCTTGCTGAACCGCAGATTTTTTTTAGCTGATGGTTTAGGTTCAGTATTATCAGGATTCTCTGTAGTTTCAGAAGTTTCATTTTTAGAGTTCTCAACTGTAGTTGCAGCTGGGTAGAGT